AAAAGTCTGATGGACAAAAGTCCAGTATACATAGGTAGCAGTTTAATGAATAAATGCATTGGTCTTCTTCAAAAATCTTTTTTTTCTCAGCCTGGCACTGTGGCTCATTCCTGTAATCCCAGCACTTTAGGAGGCTGAGGCAGGCAGATCACCTGAGGTCAGGTCAGGAGTTCAAGACCAGCCTGACCAACCTGGAAAAAACCTTGTCTCTACTAAGAATACAAAATTACCCAGGCATGGTAGCACATGCCTGTAATCCCAGCTACCTGGGAGGCTGAGGTAGGAGAATCACTTGAACCTGGGAGGCACAGACTGCAGTGAGCCAAAATTGCACCACTGCACTCCAGCCTGGGCAACAAGAGCGAAACTCTGTCTAAAAAAACAAACAAACAAACAAAAAAACAAAACATAAAAACAAAAAACCAACTTTTTTTCTCTAAGAACCATAAGTACCTAGAAATAAATGAATGGTCTTGGTGAGCTACCTTTGCTTCAAAGCAGACTTTTCCCTTTGTCACTCCGTAAGTACTCCTTGCCCCAGACCAAAGAGTGGGAAACTTCTCTGAGAAAAGTGGCTGCCCTCCATAGCGGTCTTTGCTTACTTGAAAATGCAGATCCGAGGTATCTGTAAAGAAAGAAGCAATCAGTTTACTCCAATGCCCAACACTTTTAAGCCACCAACAGAGCACACGTATAGCCAGTTGTTGAAGTGGATACAAAGACTCATAGAATTTAAGGGCTATGAGGTTTTAATCTTCAAAATCACTTTTAGGAGATTAGTTAAAACACAATCTGTCTGCCTTATACATACACGTGTCCAGGTTCACAAGAGTTTGATCCTCCTCCTCATCTTTTGCCTCTTCTTCAGGAGGCGGTGGAGACTTTGAGCTATACACATGAGATAGAAAAGAAACACAATGTAAACAAAGCCCTCTTCTTTGAGAGGTATGTGTTTGACATTACATCCATTTTATACTATCGGTGAATATCAAATCCCAGCAGACAGCTTTTTTCAACAAATGAGAAAGGGTAATAGGAGCTTCCATGGTATATGCAATCTAAAACTCATGCCTATAAAAACCTATTTCATTTTGAATCCACCCTCCTTCCAGTCTCTCCAGTCAATAGCAGTAGCAGTCAAAATCAGAGCAGACACTCCCTTCCAGGAAAGGGACTGTTTCCCTCACCGGCTGTGGTAAGCCTCCTCTCGGAATTCATAGTAAGCTCGGCCATGTTCATCCTTCTCATCCCGCTGTCTCTTTACCCCCCGCCGCTCACCATCTGAGCCTGCTGGTTTTGACTTTTCACTATCTTGGTCATCTCCTACAAAAAGGAGGGAAAGAAAATCAGCAGTTTTCAAACTAGAGTGTAGAATAAGCTCAGAACTAATAGACACTAGTGGGGAATCTGAGAATCTGTTTGATCAAAACAGCCAACTTATTCCCACTACATTCACAGAGCATTTGATTTCTAAAGACCATCTTTCTGTCACTGGCTGTGATTTTATTTTTTAAAAAAGGGAAATTATGGGCTAATTACAGTCAAGCAGTAGATAAAAATTGGAAAATTTTTGCATTCTAAATTTATCTGCTTAAATCAGGTGAAACGTGCATATTTCCCCATCAACATGACATTAAAAAAATATCCCCTAGATCTCTAAAAAAAACTTCAAAGGTTAATTTTGAATCTTGTCAGATCTAGATTCAAGGTAGGCACTTAATACGTATTTTGTTAATACTCTTCCACAACTTCATAATACAGAGAAACGTGATTTTTTTTTTATTTCCCTTTCCTGCATCAAAATGCACAGCTACCCATGGCTTTATTCATATGGCAAATGGACTCAAGTGTGTGACACACAGCTGTATTTTTATCAGGAACTTCTACTGAAAATTGCAAGAGCAAACCACTAAGTCACAAGAGATCCATAAATAATACTGCATCTACACTGCACATAATTTGGGGCAGAAAGGTGTTGTTGTATATTTAGCAACAATCTATACAACTAATCAAGAGAAAAAAACCTGGAATTTTCCTCTAAGATTTTGTATTTTGCAACACTAAGAAGGTTTTTAATAATAGTTTCTTTAAAGCAGTCCTTTATCCTTCAAATTTTTTTTTTTTTTTTTTTTTTTTTAGACTGAGTTGCCTTCTGTTGTGCCCAGGCTGGAGTGCAGTGGCAAGATCTCGGTTCATTGCAACCTCTGCCTCTCAGATTAAAGCCATTCTCCCACCTCAGTCTCCCAAGAAACTGGGATTACAGGTGTCCACCATCAAGTCCAGCTAGTTTTTTGTATTTTTAGTAGAAATGGGGTTTCACCATGTTGGCCAGGCTGGTTTCGAACCCCTGACCTCAGGTGATCCACCCACCTCGGCTTCCCAAAGTGCCGGGATTATAGGCGTTAGCCACTGCACCCTGCCTATCCTTCAATTTTTTTTTTTTTTTTTTTTTATCTGCTCTTTGGGATACACACAAGTCAAAGGTTATGTAATGGGATTTTTGTTCCAGGACATAGGACAAACAGTCTGCAAGTTGCATGTGATTGCTGTACAATCGGTTCCGATTATACGACGATTCTTGGTAGTGACCTAAAAACAGGACTAACAAAAGAACTACGGCAACCCACTTTATAGTAAGAATTAGCCTTCCTACTCACACAGTGTTATGGATCAGTTCTAACCAATCTCTTTAAAAAAAAAGGAGAAAGGTCATTAACTCCCTGGGGTGATTCAACAACACACCTCTTCCACAAGGTTACTCAACGGACCCACAAGCACCTCAGTCATTACCATTCAGGAAGCCAGAGACCTGAAATGTAAAAGGCTCGTAGTACCAGGTGTTCAGGAAATCCAAAAACATGCCCATCCACGATTCAGTGGGACAATTAAAATTTAATCATAATCCAAATAAGTTAACCCTAGTCAAGTAACGTTAACAAATTCTAAATACACTAAAGATTTTCTCTTCACTGGTTAACTATTAAGCTCGACACTGTTACACTAGAGGCTGTCCCCTACAGCTCAAAGAGGAGTAAGGTTAGATTTCCAGATTCTCCGTGGCTCAAGCTCTGGCAACTCGCTTTTGACGGAGCGGACTCTGACAAACTTCGATTTTTGTTTAACATTTTTTTTTACAGTGAAAAAGCCAACAGTCAGATAGCCCAAAGGCCCGAACCTCTAACTGTGGGCCTGGCTCTCCGTGTAATCCCCAAGCTAAGAAAAACGTTAACAAGCACCGTGAGAGACTGTTCCACAGGTAGCTCGCAAGCAGCTCTCACGCAAAGTCACTCACGGCCATCCACTACCACCAAGGAACCAAGTTAGGCAGGAAGCTCCCTCCTGCAAAAAGCGGAGCCACAAGAGGCGGCCTAACCCCTCAGAAAGGTGGATAGAGAATGAAAGGAAGCGATGGGAATCTTGCACTTTCAGGCAGGCGAGAACAAGGACTCGGACCCCGCGGTGCAGCACGGGGTGCTAGATCACAGGCGCAGCCCGCAGGCTGGAGCCGGGATCGGCTGCTAGCTCCTCACCCTGTTCCTCGGCGGCCTTGTCACCCGGCACCTCGGATCCCGGCGTCTCGTCCCCGCTCCGCTCCTCGGGTTCGTCTTCCTCCCCCTTGCCGGGGCCCTGCTCTTCGCCACCATTTACCCCACCTGACCCGGCCGTGGCCTCCGCCGGCTTCTCGGAAGCATCGGGCTCCGCCGCGGCCTCCATGGCTGCCGCCTCCGGGGGCTCCGGTGGCGGCTGCGCGGCCTGACCCGAGGCCTGATCAGGGGGTGGCTCCTCGTCCTCGTCCTCAAGCAGCGCCTCCTCGTCCTCCTCCTCCTCCTCTTCGTCGTCCTCCTCGTCCCCGCCCGGGCCGCCGCCCGACGCGGCCACAGGCCGAGGCTCCGCCTTGCAGGCCCCGCCGGGCCCGGCCCCGCCGCCGCCGGCCTCGTCCTCGAGCATCTCGGCGTCCAGCGCCTCTTGCAGCCGCTGCGCCAAATCCACCTTGAGGCCGCGCGAGTCCAGGCCCCGCCGCTGCAGCTCCGACCGCAGCTCGGTCACTTTCAGCCGCTTCACCTCCATCGCCGCCGCCGCCTCCTCCGCCTCCCGCCGCCTCCTCCCCTGCGAACCGTCGACCGAGACCGACCGCGCAGGCGCCGCCGCCGCCGCCGCCGCCGCCCGCCTCCGCCTCACGCGCCAGCACTGAGCCCGCGCAAGCGAGCGCACGCACGCAGGAGCGGAGGCCGTGCACGGTCTCGCTGCGCAGTGTCTGCTTCTCCTTCCTCTCCCCTCCCCCTTTCGGCTCACGGAGCCCAAAACAACGCAGCGGGGTGCCGCTTTCCTTCCAGGCCCTCGGTTCCCCAGCCGCGGGCAGGCGCGCGGAGGACGACGGAGTTCCTCCCGCCCTCCGGCGCCTCCGGGCCAATCGCCGCTGAAGCTTTTACCGCGCAGCCGCAGTGGGGTCCAAGACGAGCAAAGCTGGCGGCCGCTCAAGTGCCTCGTAGCACGGAAGCGTGTGCGCGCCGGTCTTTCCGTTACTTCCAGCTGGCGGGTTCTGCGCAGCCGCCCGAAGCTCCCCGATGCCATGCCCCTCCCACCATCTTTACTTCCGTCTGACTTCAATCGCTGCGGCGTCTTAGGGGTCGCTAGCCCCTTTTCCCTACTGTCCGTGCTTGCAGCATTAACACCAAAGAAGTCAGAAGAGAATGTGTTGCGACATGTAAGCCTACTATCAATTATTTTTCTGGCAAGGAAGTAAAAGGGCTTTCCAGAACCGGGTTCTCCTTTTTCCTGACTGTCTCAAACTTCTACCCAGCAACAGACACGCTGACCCCGCCCTTTTTCTCCTATTGGGCAACTTAAATCGTCATTTGCCGTTCCGATTGGTCATCCGTGATCGTCTGGATTTTTCCAATTGGCGAAGCCATAGGGGATTTTTTTTTTTTTCCCCCCCGGGTTGGTCCGCTGGGGAGGCGGGGTCGTTTCTGCGGGATTATTTTTCCGGAGCTGCTTCTGATTGGGCGGCGTGGCGCAATGGGCGCGATCCTTTAAGATACCAAGCCATCCGCAGTTCTGACCCTTTCCTCTCCTTACTCCCGCTGGTAAATCGAAGCCCAGGAGACTTCCGGGCTTGGGCATCTGCAGAGGGCGAGAAACTGGTCGCAGCGCCGGGTGGGCTTGCAACTGTGACGTTTATGCGGACACCTCAGACTCGCTTGTACGTTGAGGTGCACGCACCTCATTCACCTCGGCTTCCCAGTTGATAGCACTGACGTCAACAAATAAATGTTGAATTAGGAAGAATAAAGAACTGGAATTGCTGCAAGTCCTCTGGACTTCTTTTAGCAGTAGTCCCACCCACTCTCTTCTACTTCCAGGTCAGGGGGCGTGTCCAGAAGAAAGGCGGAATCCAATTTGCCCGGCGTTCTCACACTCGCCACGATTCCTGAGTAGGGCCTTGCCTGGCTTTTTCGGGAAGTCTCCTTATCCCGGCATCGCCTCTTTAGGAAGTCACTTAATATTTGGCTTCATTATTCCCACATCGCCTTCCTACGTAGTTTCCTGCACTTCTAACGAAAAAGATTGCAGAAAGGAGAGGTGGGGCTGTGAGTCGAAATCAGCAAACCGCAGGTCCTTGTGGCGTGCATCCTCCAGGAGAAGGGTAATTTCCTTCCTTTTTAAATTGGCTATTAGAATCCGTTATTTTGCTCCCAATCCCAGAGCTTCAGTTTCTCCTTCACTTCCCAATTCCACAAGAACCCTGGGCGACAGTTATGGAGAAGCGTCTGCAGGAGGCTCAGCTGTACAAGGAGGAAGGGAACCAGCGCTACCGGGAAGGGAAGTACCGAGATGCTGTGAGTAGGTATCATCGAGCTCTGCTTCAGCTGCGGGGTCTGGATCCAAGTCTGCCCTCTCCGATACCTAATCTCGGACCTCAGGGCCCCGCCCTCACCCCTGAACAAGAAAACGTACTGCATACCACCCAGACAGACTGCTACAACAATCTAGCTGGTAAGAACAGGGCTAAAGGGTGGCTGGAAAGCAGTAAGATAGGAACATGAACATCTGTGAACATTGGGGAAAACCCGCTTTTTTTTTTTCTTTACCATCATCCATTTATTCTGCCATGAATTGGAATATTCTGCCAATCTGTGAGGCTCTAAGTTGTAGTAGAGCAGGGCTTATCAGACTTCACCTGGAGAGTTTGTTAAAAACACAGCCTCCTAGGCCCCATCCCCAGAGATTCCAATGGATCTGACATGGGGGCTGCCAGTTTGCATTTCTTTCTTCTTTCTTTTCTTCCTTTTTTTTTTTTTTTTTTTTTTGAGACGGAGTTTCGCTCTTGTTACCCAGGCTGGAGTGCAATGGCGCGATCTCGGCTCACCGCAACCTCCGCCTCCTGGGTTCAGGCAATTCTCCTGCCTCAGCCTCCTGAGTAGCTGGGATTATAGGCACGCGCCACCATGCCCAGCTAATTTTTTGTATTTTTAGTAGAGACGGGGTTTCACCATGTTGACCAGGTTGGTCTCGATCTCTCGACCTTGTGATCCACCCGCCTCGGCCTCCCAAAGTGCTGGGATTACAGGCTTGAGCCACCGCGCCCGGCCTTTTTTTTTTTTTTTTTTTTTTTTTTACGGAGTTTCACTCTGTCCCCCAGACTAGGGCGCATTGGCGACATCTCGGCTCACTTCAACCTCCGCCTCCTGAGTTCAAGCGATTCCCCTACCTCAGCCTCCTAAGTAGCTGGGATTTACAGGCGCTCACCACCTTGCCCGTTAATTTTGTATTTTTAGTAGAGATGGGGTTTCACCATCTTGGCGAGGCTTGTCTCAAACTCCTGACTTCGTGAGCTACCCGCCTCGGCCTTCCAAAGTGCTGGGATTACAGGCATGAGCCACTGCGCCAGGCCTTTTTTTTTTTTTTGAGACAGTCTCGCTCTGTCACCCTGGAGTGCAGTGGCACGATCTTGGCTCACTGCAACCTCCCCTCCCAGGTTCAAGCGATTCTTCTGCTTCAGTCTCCTGAGTAGCTGGGACTACAGGCACGTGCCACCACCATGGCGGTCTAATTTTTTGTTTTTAGTAGAGATGGGGTTTCACCGTGTGAGCCAGGATGATCTCGATCTCCTGACTTCATGATCCGCATGCCTCGCCCTCCCAAAGTGCTGGGATTACAGGCATGAGCCACCACACCCGACATTTTTATATATATATATATATATATATATATATATATATATATATATATATAATTATTTTTTCCTTTCCTTTTTTTTTTTTTTTTTTTTTGAGACGGAGTTTTGCTCTTCTTGCCCAGGCTGGGGTGCAATGGCAAGATCTCGGCTCAGTGCAACCTCTGCCTCCCCGCGTTCAAGCAGTTCTCCTTGCCTCAGCATCTCAAGTAGCTGGGATTACAGGCATGCACCACCATGCCTGGCTGATTTTTGTATTTTTAGTAGAAACGAGTTTCTCCATGTTGGTCAGGCTGGTCTCGAACTCCTGACCTCAGGTGATCCACCTGCCTAGGCCTCCCAAAGTGGTGGGATTACCGGCATGAGCCACCACTCCTGGCACACCTGGCTAATTTTTGTATTTTTAGTGGAGCCGGGGTTTCATCATATTGGTTAGGCTGGTCTCAAACTCTTGACCTCAGATGATCAATGTGCCTCTGCCTCCTAAAGTGCTGGGATTACATGTGTGAGCCACCACACCCAACCCAGCCCCAGTTTACATTTCTTTTTTTTTTTTTTTTTTTTTTGAGACGCAGTTTTGCTCGTTACCCAGGCTGGAGTGCAATGGCGCGATCTCGGCTTACCGCAACCTCCGCCTCCCGGGTTCAGGCAATTCTGCCTCAGCCTCCTGAGTAGCTGGGATGACAGGCACGTGTCACCATGCCCAGCTAATTTTTTTGTATTTTTAGTAGAGACGGGGTTTCACCATGTTGACCAGGATGGTGTCGATCTCTCGACCTCGTGATCCACCCGCCTCGGCCTCCCAAAGTGCTGGGATTACAGGCTTGAGCCACCGCGCCCGGCCCCCAGTTTACATTTCTGACAGCCTTCTGGGTATTGCTGATAGCTTTAGGGAATTTTGCACGCTATAGAGAAAAACTATACCTAAAGTCAGTCCATTGTTTAAGGAACATTTAATATTTGGGAAACACGGTGATTGCTTTAGCTGGTGGTTTATATCCTTTATTATATTCAGTGGGTTGTATAGCTTTTCCTCATTTTTCTCTTTCCTATAATTTAGGTGGATAACTATCTTTCATCTCTTTGTGGTCTTGGGTGAAAAGATAATGTCACAGTTAGATTACTAAGATAAACCTGCTAGGCCTGTTGTGGTGGCTCATGTCTGTAATCCCAGCACTTCGGGAGACTGAGGTGGGTGGATCTCTTGGGTCCAGGAGTTTGAGATCAGCCTGGGCAACATGGCAAAACCCAGTCTTTACAAAAATATTAAAAATTAGCCAGTCATGGTGGCATACACCTGTGGTCCAGGCTACTGGGAGGCTGAGGTGGGAGGATTACCTGAGCCCAGGAGCTGGAGCCTGCAGTGAACTGTGAGCCACTGCACTCCAGCCTGGACAACACAGCCAGACCCTGTCTAAAAAAATAAGTAAATAAAATTAACCTGCTAAGTGAAGGAGATGTCCTAGGTCTGTTCTGTGGCAGATAAAATAAACATAGAACTAATAAACTTATATCACAGTGTATTAGAACATTCTAACAATCCAGGCTGAGGCCATAGAAATTATTAGGAGTAGTTTTTTTTTTTTTTTTTTTTTTTTGAGACGGAGTTTCACTCTTGTTACCCAGGCTGGAGTGCAATGGCGCGATCTCGGCTCACTGCAACCTCCGCCTCCTGGGTTTAGGCAATTCTCGTGCCTCAGCCTCCTGAGTAGCTGGGATTACAGGCACACGCCACTATGCCCAGCTAATTTTTTGTATTTTTTTTTTTTTTTTTTTTTTTTGAGACGGAGTTTCGCTCTTGTTACCCAGGCTGGAGTGCAATGGCGCGATCTCGGCTCACCGCAACCTCCGCCTCCTGGGTTCAGGCAATTCTCCTGCCTCAGCCTCCTGAGTAGCTGGGATTACAGGCATGCGCCACCACGCCCAGCTAATTTTTTGTATTTTTAGTAGAGACGGGGTTTCGCCATGTTGACCAGGATGGTCTCGATCTCTTGACCTCGTGATCCACCCGCCTCGGCCTCCCAAAGTGCTGGGATTACAGGCTTGAGCCACCGCGCCCGGCCAATTTTTTGTATTTTTAGTAGAGACGGGGTTTCACCATATTGACCAGGATGGTCTCGATCTCTTGACCTCATGATCCACCCGCCTCGGCCTCCCAAAGTGCTGGGATTACAGGCGTGGGCTACTGTGCATGGCCCAGGAGTAGTTTTTACCCTTCCTTATAGCCTAAAAGTGATTTTTTTTTCGAGACGGAGTTCCACTTTTGTTACCCAGGCTGGAGTGCAATGACGCAATCTCTGTTCACCGCAACCTCTGCCTCCTGGGTTCAAGCAATTCTCCTGCCTCAGCCTCCCGAGTACATGGGACTACAGGCGCGCGTCACCATGCCCAGCTAATTTTTGTATTTTTAGTAGAGATGGGGTTTCACCATGTTGACCAGGATGGTCTTGATCTCTTGACCTTGTGATCCACCCGCCTCGGCCTCCCAAAGTGCTGGGATTAAAGGCGTGAGCCACTGCGCCCGGCCAAAAGTGATTTTTAAAATTACATCTCAAGTCCATCTGGAGAGTCAAGATTTACAAGTATTCATCTGTAAAACAATTCATCTCCTTGATTTTTTGGCCAATTCCCTAACATACATTCCTTTTTCTTTTTGGAGAGAGGATCTTGCTCTGTTACCCAGTTTGGAGTGCAGTGGCTTGATCTCAGCTCACCGAAACCTCTGCCTTCTGGGTTCAATCGATTTTCCTGCCTCAGCCTCCCGAGTAGCTGAGATTACAGGTGCTAAGCACCAAGCCTAGCTAATTTCTTTGTATTTTTAGTAGAGCTGCCTTTTCACAATGATAGCCAGGCTGGTTTTGAACTCCTGATCTCAGGTCATCCGCCTGCCACAGCCTCCCCAAGTACTGGGATTACAGATGTGAGCTACCACACCCGGGCTCAAGCTTTTTAATCATGAAGATGGGCCAGGTGTGGTGGATCACCTGAGGTTGAGAGTTCAAGACCAGCCTGACCAACATAGAGAAACTCTCTGTCTACTAAAAATACAAAATTAGCTGGGTATGGTGGCGCATGCCTGTAACTGCTCAGGAGGCTGAGACAGGAGAATCGCTTGAACCCAGTAGTCAGATGTTGCAATGAGCCGAAATCGCGCGTTGCACTCCAGCCTGGGCAACAAGAGTGAAACTGTTTCCAAAAAAATCAGGATGACAGCCTTGTTTCTCTTATTCTCTGCTTCTAGCTCAGTGCCTGGCACATGGTCAATGCACAAGAACTGGTTGTCAAATTAATAAGCAAGGGTAACAGGTTGGTTGACCTCTGGGCAAATATCTAAGTATAAACCATATGACCACTTGGTGGGGATGTTGTAAAAGGGATACAAATATAAGCACAGGCCCTTTAATGTCCTCATCAGTGCTGATTCTTGGTCTTCTTCGGCCCCATGATTCAATAATAGTATGTTTAATTCCCACAGTTGTGAAATAGGGAATGTGTTTCCTTTCTTAATCATAAAAAGGCAGAACATTAACCCGAATTGCCTCCTGCTTAGGTTTGTATTTTAAGGTCCCATTAAGTCATCCAAGAGAATAGTGAAGTCATATACTGTATTGTTATTGAGAATGATGATTTTGGGTTTAGAGAACACTCAAATTTCATATTCATTCCACCTAGAACCTATAAGATCTTGGACAACTTACTTCTCTGAGTCTTGATTTCTTCATCCACTAAATGAAGATAGTAATATTTGTCTAAGAGTGTAGAGAAGATTAAACGCGACAGTGTATATGAATTGCATAGCGCAGTGCTCGCTGTTTCCTCACATTATTAATGGCAACTGTTTTTTTTTTCCTTTTTCTCTTTTTTTTTAAAGACGGGGTTTCACCATTTTGGTCAGGCTGGTCTCGAACTTCTGACCTCAGGTGATCTGCCCGCCTCAGCCTTCCAGAGTGCTGGGATTACAGGCGTGAGCTACTGCACCTGGCGGCAACCGTTATTAACCAAGCTGCAATACAAAAACTGTGTTGAAATGGAGGATTTAGGACATAGAGCCTTGGGTAGAAGAGATGCAGTAGAGCCTGGCTCTGGTTTTTGAAATTTCCAGATAAAAAAGAAGAAAGGCCGGGCGCAGTGGCTCAAGCCTGTAATCCCAGCACTTTGGGAGGCCGAGGCGGGTGGATCACGAGGTCGAGAGATCGAAACCATCCTGGTCAATATGGTGAAACCCCGTCTCTACTAAAAATACAAAAAAGTAGCTGGGCATGGCAGCACATGCCTGTAATCCGAGCTACTCAGGAGGCTGAGGCAGGAGAATTGCCTGAACCCAGGAGGTGGAGGTTGCGGTGAGCCGAGATCGCGCCATTGCACTCCAGCCTGGGTAACAAGAGCGAAACTCCGTCTCAAAAAGAAAAAAAAAAAAAAAAAGAAAAATGGGGCCAGGCATGGTGGCTCACACCTGTAATCCCAGCACTTTGGGAGGCAGAGGTGGGTGAATCACAAGGTCAGAGTTTAAGACCAGCCTGGCCAATGGTAAAACCCCATCTCTACTAAAAATACAAAAATTAGCTAGGCATGGTGGGTGCCTGTAATCCTAGCTACTGGGGAGGCTGAGGCAGAGAATTGCTTGAACCTGGGAGGCAGAGATTGCAGTGAGCTGAGATTGCACCACTGCACTCCAGCCTGGGCAACAGGGCAATACTCCATCACACACACACACACACACACACACACACACACACTCTCTCTCTCTCTCTCTCTCTCTCTCTCTCTCTCTCTCTCTCTCTCTCTCTCTCATATCCAGGCATGGTGGTGGGTGCCTGTAACCCCAGCTACTTGGGAGGCTGAGGCAGGAGAACTGCTTGAATCCAGAGGTGGAGGTTGCAGTAAGCTGAGATAATGCCATTGCACTCCAGCCTGGGCTACAGGAGGGAAACTGTCTCAATAATAATGATCATAATAGGGTCTTGGCTGGGCATGGTGGCTCATGCCTATAATCCTTGGAAGGCCAAGGTGGGCAGATCACTTGAGGTCAGGAGTTCAAGACCAGCCTGGCCAACATGATGAAAACCCATCTCTACTAAAAACACAAAAATTAGCTGCACATGGTGACACATTTTTGTAATCCCAACTACTCGGAGGTTGAGGCAGAAGAATCGCTTGAACCTGGGATGGGGAAATTGCAGTGAGCCAAGATCATGATACTACACTCCAGCCTGGGTGATGAGTGAGACTCTGTCTTTAAAAAAAAAAAAAAAAAAAGAAAGGCCAGGTGCAGTGGTTCATGCCTATAATCCCAGCACTTTGGGAGGCCAGGCAGGTGGATCACGAGTTCAGGAGTTCAAGACCAACCTGGCCAAGACGGTGAAACCCTGTCTATACTAAAAATACAAAAAATATTAGCTGGGCGTGGTGGCAGACGCCTGTTATCCCATCTACTCGGGAGGCTGAGGCAGAGAATTGCTTGAACCTGGGAGGTGGAGGTTGCAGTGAATGACCTGAGATCGTGCCACTGCACTCCAGCCTGGACAACAGTACAAGACTGCTTCTCAAAAAAAAAAGGGAATACGTATGTTATCCAGAATATCCTTGTTATAACACTGCAGTGAATACCCTACCCAAAAAAAAGGCAGTGGGGGTCTCACTGTTGCCTGGGCTGGTCTTGAACTCCTCGGTTCAAGCGATCCTCCCACTTCAGCGTCCGAAAGTGCTAGGATTACAGGCATGAGCCACCATGCTCAGCCCAAAGATGAGTTTTAAGTAAATTTTAAAGTATGTTCTTACCAGCTTTATAGCTTGGCCTAACTCAATACTAAATATGTAACAGAAAATCAGTAAATATTGAAGTACATTACAAGATATGCGAAGCTTTTATTCACTGCTGCATCCCCAGTGTGTAGAAGAGTATCTGGCATATGGGAGACACTTTAGCGTTTGTTGACTGAATGTTGTTGATACCAGTACTGCCTTGAGCTGGCCAGTGGAACCTGGTGTAACAAGCCCCTCCTCCCACTTCTCTCCTTTCATATGGCCCATTAGCCTGTCTCCTTCAGATGGAGCCAGTGAACTATGAACGAGTGAGAGAATATAGTCAGAAAGTCCTGGAACGACAACCTGATAATGCCAAGGCCTTGTATCGGGCAGGAGTGGCCTTTTTCCATCTACAGGACTATGACCAGGCCCGGCACTACCTCCTGGCTGCCATCAATAGGCAGCCTAAAGGTGAGTCAAAGGGGATTTGAAATGCTGAAGACAAAATTGTCTTGCTGGGGTGGATCTGTGGAAAGGGGGTTTTATTTTACTTTGTCAGTGTATTATTTTCAATAAGTAATACATTCACATGGTTGGGAATTCAAATTCTGTGAAGAAGTATACGATGACCAGGCCTTTTTTTTTTTTTCAAGATGGGTTTTCACCATGTTGGTCAGGCTGGTCTTGAACTCCCAACCTCAGGTGATCTGCCCACCTTGGCTTCCCAAAGTGCTGGGATTACAGGTGTGAGCCACCACAACCAGCCAGTATTATTAGTTTCATATGTCAGGTGTTGATGCTTAAACAGGCATATACAATATATATGTCGGTATGTCTGTTTCGTACATATATGTATACCTGGCTGGGTGCGGTGGCTCCTGCCTATAATCCCAGCACTTGGGAGGCTGAGGCAGGTTAGGAGTTTGAGACAAACCCGACCAACATGGAGAAACCCCATCTCTACTACAAATACAAAATTAGCTGGGTGTGGTGGCCCATGCCTGTGATCCCAAGGGAGGCTGAGGCAGGAGAATCGCTTGAACTTGGGAGGAAGAGGTTGCAGTAAGCCAAGATTGTGCCATTGCACTCCAGCCTGGGCAATAAGAGTGAAACACGATCTCAAAAAAAAAAAAATGTATATAGATATCTGTATGCCTATTTTAATACATAAATATGGCCGGGCGCGGTGGCTCACACCTGTAATCCCAGCACTTTGGTAGGCCGAGGTGGGTGGATCACAAGGTCAAGAGATCGAGACCATCTTGGTCAACATGGTGAAACCCCGTCTCTACTAAAAATACAAAAAATTAGCTGGGCATGGTGGTGCGTGCCTGTAATCCCAGCTACTCAGGAGGCTGAGGCAGGAGAATTACCTGAACCCAGGAGGCAGAGGTTGCGGTGAGCTGAGACCGCGCCATTGCACTCCAGCCTGGGTAACAAGAGCAAAACTCCGTCTCAAAATAAATAAATGTATGTATACATATGAATGTACTTATATTTATAAATATACATAAATATGTATAAAATAGGCATCATATATATGAGATATATATGTGAAACAGACTTATATGTATGCCTATTTTATTCAGTACCATTATATATAATGCCCCCACCCCCAGGCCAAACACACGAATTTAAAAAGTGTTGTTTTCGCCAGGCACAGTGGCTCATGCCTGTAATCTCAGCACTTTGGGAGGCTGAGGTGGACAGATCACCTGAGGTCAGGAGTTCGAGACCAGCCTGACCAACATGGAAAAACCCCATCTCTATTAAAAATACAAAAATTAGCTGGGTAGACTGGGTGTGGTGGCTCATGACTATAATCATAGCACTTTGGGAGGCCAAGGTGGGTGGATCACCTAAGGTCAGGAGTTTGAGACCAGCCTGGCCAACGTGGTGAAACCCCATCTATTTAAAAAAATATATATATAGCTGAGTATGGTGGCACGTGCCTATAATCCCAACCACTCGGAAGGCTGAGGCAGGAGAATCACTTGAACATGGGAGGCGGAGGTTGCAGTAAGCTGAGATGGTGCCATTGCACTCTAGCCTGGACAACAAGAGCAAAACTCTATCTCAGGAAAAAAAAAAAAATCAGGAGAAAAAAAAAAGTTGTTTTTCGGGATCTGGCACAGTGGCTCATGCCTGTAATCCCAGAACTTTGGGAAGTTGAGGATCACCTGAGGTCAGGAGCTGAAGACCAGCCTGGCCAACATGGCAAAACCCCATCTCTACTTTAAAAAAAAAAAAAAAATACAAAAACTAGCCAGGCATGGTGGTGGGCTCCTGTAATCCCAGCTACTGAGAAGTTGAGGCAGGGAGAATCACTTAAAACCGGGAGGCAGTGGAAGACAGTGTGGCGATTCCTCAAGGGCCTAGAAATAGAAATTCCATTTGACCCAGCAATCCCATTACTGGGTATATATCCAAAGGATTATAAATCGTTCTACCATAAGGACACATGCACACCAGTGTTCACTGTGGCACTGTTTACAATAGAAAAGACTTGGAACCAATCCAAATGCCCATTGATGATAAACTGGACAGGGAAAATGGCACATGTACACCATGGAATACTATGCAGCCATAAAAAACGAGTTTGTGTCCTTTGTAAGGACACGGATGAACCTGGAAAACCATCATTCTCAACAAACTGACACAAGAACAGAAAATCAAACACCGCATGTTCTCACTCATAGGCCTTTGTTGAACAATGAGAACACATGGACACAGGTCGGGGAGCATCACACTCTGGTCTGTCAGGGAGAACTAGGGGAGGGACAGCAGCGGGTGGAGAGTTGGGGAGAGATAGCATGGGGAGAAATGCCAGATATAGGTGATGGGGAGGAATACTGCAAATCACACTGCCATATATGTACCTATGTAACAATCTTGCATGTTCTTCACATGTGCCCCAAAACCTAAAAGCAATAAAAATTAAAAAAACGGGAAGCAAGGCCGGGCACGGTGGCTCAAGCCTGTAATCCCAGCACTTTGGGAGGCCGAGGCGGGTGGATCACGAGGTCGAGAGATCGAGACCATCCTGGTCAACATGGTGAAACCCCGTCTCTACTAAAAATACAAAAAATTAGCTGGGCATGGTGGCGCGTGCCTGTAGTCCCAGCTACTCAGGAGGCTGAGGCAGGAGAATTGCTTGAACCCAGGAGGCGGAGGTTGCGGTGAGCCGAGATCACGCCATTGCACTCCTGCCTGGGTAACAAGAGCAACACTCTGTCCCAAAAAAAAAAAAACAAAAAAAAAAAAAACGGGAAGCAGAGGTTGCAGTGAGCCAAGATTGCACCACTAAATTCCAGCCTGGGTAGCAGAGCAAGACTGTCTCCAAGAAACAACAAAAAAGTATTGTTTTCAAGTTCAGTTCCTGGTCTTTAAGAGTGACTGGGGCTGAGCGAGGTGGGTCACACCTGTAATCTTAGCACTTTAGGAGGCTGAGGAGGGCAGATTACTTGAGGTTAGGAATTCAAGACCAGCCTAGCCAACATAGTGAAACCCCTGTCTCTACTAAAAATACAAAAATTAGCCAGGTGTGGCGGCAGGTATACCTGTAATACAGGAGGCTGAGGCAGGAGAATCACTTGAACCTGGGAGGCGGAGGTAGCAGCAAGCGGAGATTGTGCCACTACACTCCATCTTGGGAGACAAGAGTGAGACTCCATCTCAAACAAAACAAAACAAAACAAAAGCCAGGCGCAGTCGCTCATGTCTGTAATCCTAGCGCTTTGGGAGGCTGAGGCAAGCAGTTTGCCTAAGCTTAGGAGGTCAAAACCAGTCTGGGCAACACAGTGAAACCCTGTCTCTACTAAAATTACAAATTAGCCAGGCATGGTGGCTTGCACCTGTAATCCCCCGTACTCAGGAGACTGAGGCAGGAGGATTGCTTGAATCCATGAGGCAGAGGTTGTAGTGAGCCCAGACTGTACCACTGCACTCCATCCTGGGTGACAGAACGAGACTCTGTCTCAAAAATAAAATAAACAAAAAGAGTGACTGGAATAGGATACGTGAATGCCAGTGAATACACTTGATAATCCTCATTCTGCCAGTTCCCCAGCTGGGGTCTGGCATTTGCTTTCACTATCATTTTTATCCTTCAGCTCAGCTAACCCCAGGTATGACCTAGAAAAGGGGCAGGCCTGCTGAGAGAGAATTTGAGACTTACTTTGTTTCCAAGGCAGAAAGGAAATTGTGAGGGAGATGAGAGACTCATTCCTATGTTGGTTGGTTGAGCACTGAAAATTGTCTACCTTTTGCATTCTGGTTTACGGTAGCCATTGGATACTAGTAGTAGAGTCCTCAGATGTATAACACTGCAGCAAAATCTCACTAATCTAAATGACTGGGAAAGCCATTAGGAATTTCTTAAGATAGAAAATATGAGCCATTTGTTAATGTTTCTCACCTTCAAGTACATAGATTGTCACCTATATGAACAGTATCTTTAAAGGCTCTATTTTTAAAAAATTATTGTGCCGGGAGCGGTGGCTCAAGCCTGTAATCCCAGCACTTTGGGAGGCCGAGGCGGGTGGATCACAAGGTCGAGAGATCGAGACCATCCTGGTCAACAGGGTGAAACCCCGTCTTTACTAAAAATACAAAATATTAGCTGGGCATGGTGGCGCGTGCCTGTAATCCCAGCTACTCAGGAGGCGGAGGCAGGAGAATTGCCTGAACCCAGGAGGCAGAGGTTGCGGTGAGCCGAGATCGCGCCATTGCACTCCAGCCTGGGTAACGAGTGAAACTCCGTCTAAAAAAAAAAAAAAAAAAAAAAAAAAATTACTGTAATTTAATTTTTTTATTATACTTTTAAGTTCTGGGGTACATGTGCAGAACGTTTGTTACATAGCTATATACATGTGCCATGGTGGTTTGCTGCATCCTGTCATCTACGTTAGGTATTTGTCCTAATGCTGTCTCTCCCCTAGCCCCCTACCCACAAGAGGCTCTACTTTAATGGTAGCTATTTCACCGATCTTCCTTTCATTATAAAATTAGCAGCCAGTGGCCAGGCTCGGTGACTCACGCCGGTAATCCCAGCACTTTGGGAGGCCAAAGTGGGTGAATCATGAGGTCAGGAGTTGAAGACCAGCCTGGCCAACATGGTGAAACCTCATCTCTACCAAAAATAGAAAAATTAGCCAGGTGTGGTGGTGCATACCTGTAATCCCAGCTACTCGGGATGCTGAGGCATGATAGTTGCTTGAACCTGGGAGGCAGAGGTTGCAGTGAGCAGAGATCACTCCACCCTGGGCAACAGGGTGAGACTCTGTCTCAAAAATAAATAAATAAAAATTAGCAGCCAGTCCAGCCCTGTACAGAGATTTTTTTTTTGTAATTCCCAATGTTATTAATTAATGAGAGTTACTATTGCATAAAATGGTCATGATATATTTGGATCTTGGTTTTTGTTTGTTTTTGAGACAAGAGTCATACTATCGCCTGGGCTGGAGTGCAGTGATTGTATTTTTAGTAGAGACGGGGTTTCAATATGTTGGCCAGGCTGTTCTCAAACACCTGACCTTGTGATCCACCCACCTTGGCCTACCAAAGTGCTGAGATTAAAGGCGTGAGCCACCTCACCCAGCCTTTTTCTTTTTCTCTTTTTTTTTTTTTTTTTTTTTTTTGAGATGGAGTCTTGCTCTGTAGCCCAGGCTGGAGTGCAGTGGCACAATCTCAGCTCACTGCAACCTCTGCCTCCCAGGTTCAAGCGATTCTCCTGCCTGGGTCTCCTGAGTAGCTGGGGCTACAGGTGTGTGCCACCACACCCAACTAATTTTTGTATTTTTAGTAGAGACAGGGTTTCACCTTATTGCCCAAGATGGTCTGGATCTCCTGACCCTGTGATCCACCCGCCTCGGCCTCCCAAAGTACTGGGATCACAGGCGTTTGCCTTGGAGAGATTTTAAAATGGAAGCATGTGAGCTGGGCGAGGTGGCTCACGCTTGTAATCCCAGCACTCTGGGAGGCCGAGGAGGGCAGATCGTGAAGTCAGGAGCTCAAGACCAGCCTGGCCAACATGGTGAAATCCTGTCTCTACTAGAAATAGCCAGTTGTGGTAGTGGGCACCTGTAATCCCAGCTATTTGGGAGGCTGAGGCAGGAGAATCACTTGAACCTGGGAGGCAGAGGCTGTGGTGAGCTGAGATAAGGCCATTGCACTCCAGCCTGGGCAACAGAGCAAGACTCCATCTCAAAAAATAAAAATGGGAGCATGTGGCTGTGCGTGGTAGCTCACGGCCCAGCACTTTGGGAGACCAAGGTGGGCGGATCACCTGAGGTCAAGAGTTGGAGAGCAGCCTGACCAACATGGAGAAACACCGTCTCTACTAAAAATACAAAAATTATCTGGGCATGGTGGCACATGCCTGTAATCCCAGCTACTTGGGAGGCTGAGGTAGGAGAATTGGTTGAACCTGGGAGGCAGTTGCTTGAACCTGGGAGGCAGAGGTTGGGGTGAGCAGAGATCGGGCCATTGTACTCCAACCTGGTCAACAAGAGTGAAACTCCATCTCAAAAAAAAAAAAAAAAAGTCCAGGCACAATGGCTTAGGCTTGTAATCCCAGCACTCTGGCCAACATGGTGAAACCTCGTCTCTACTAAAAATACAAAAATTAGCTGGGTGTGGTGGTGCATGCCTGTAGTCGCAGCTATATGGGAGTCTGAGGCAGGAGAATCACTTGAACCTGGGAGGCAGAGGTTGCAGTGAGCTGAGATTGTGCCACACTGCACTCCAGCCTGGGTGACAAGAGTGAGACTCCGTCTCAAAAAAAAAAAAAAAAATGGTTAGAGCATATGAACAATTCTGTCCTGCCACAAGGTCCAATTATGGTCTTAACTGACTATGTTTCTAATTGCTTCTCTATCATCTTCTAAGATGCCAACGTCCGGCGGTACCTCCAGCTAACACAGTCAGAACTCAGCAGCTACCATAGAAAAGAGAAGCAACTGTACCTGGGCATGTTTGGTTAACAAAGAAGAAAGACGTTCCTCCACTTGAACTTAGGTGGGCCATTAAACATGCATCAAGGAGAAACCTGAGCCTCAGCAAGAGAAATTTAGCCTATACCTCTGACCCAGGTGGATTTCTGTTTCTAGCTCTGTACAAACTATACTACTTAGACAGTCTGAGTCCTTTTCTGTCTGTCCATCTTTGTATTTCTGTAGCTTTCAATACATGTTGTTGTTGGGACTGTTTGCCTTGAGAAATACAATCAGAAAACATCAGCCGTGGGTGGAATTAATCATATTTCTGGCATAGATTTTTCATGATAATGTTGTTAGATGTATTCATATATAGAGGCGAGGAGTTGCAGAGGATGACATAGTAAGGATAGGCAGAAAGAAGTGTCTGTTTTTTTCAGAAGCCCAAACCAAAGTGGGAAATATGGCTGGTCGCGGTGGTTTATGCCTGTAATCCCAGCACACTGGGAGGCCGAGGTGGGCAGATAGCTTGACTCCAGGAGTTCGAGACCAGCCGGGGCAACACAGTGAAACCCTGTCTCTACAAAAGATAAAAAGATTATCAGGGCCTGGTGATATGCACCTGTAGTCCCAGCTATTCTGGAGGCTGAGGTGGTAGGATTGCTTGAGTTCTGGGGGGCAGAGGTTGCAGTAAACTGAGATCCTGCCACTGCACTCCAGCCTGGGCAACAGAGTGACATGCTCTTAATAAATTAATAAGCCCAAACATATTAAAGTCACTTTTTTTTTTTGTAACAGAGTCTCACTCTGTTGCCCAGGGTGGAGTGCAGTCATGCCATCTTGGCTTACTGCAGCCTCTGCCTCCCGGGTTCAAGTGCTTCTTGTGCCTGAGCCATCCAAATAGCTGGGATTATAGGAACGCGCCACCATGCCCAGCTAATTTTTTTGTATTTCTCTTTTAGTAGAGACATGGTTTTGCCATGATGGCCAGGCTGGTCTTGAATTCCTGGTCTCAAGTGATCTGCCCACCTTGGGCTCCCAAAGTGCTGGGATTATAGGTATGACCCACTGTGCTGGCCGAAGATAACCATTTTGCTTAAATCATTTTTTTTCTTTTTCTCTTTTTTTTAAATTTTAAGTTCTAGGGTACATGTGCAGGATATGAATGTTTTGTTACATAGGGAAACGTGTGGCATGGTGGTTTGCTGCATCTATCAACCCATCACCTAGGTATTAAATCCAGCATGCATTAGCTATTTTTCCTCATGTTCTCCCTCTCCCTCCGCTACCACCCCTCCTTAAATTAATTTCTTATCCTCCTTAATATTCCACATACATTCAGATTTCTTCTCCCCTAAGAAAATATTTGCTTTCAGGCCGGGCATGGTGGCTTATGCTGGTAATCCCAGCACTTTGGGAGGCCGAGATGGGTCACCCGATGTTGGGAGTTCGAGACCAGCCTGACCAACGTGATGAAACCCAGTCTCAAAAAAAAATTTAAAAAAAATTGGGGCCGAGCGCAGTGGCTCAAGCCTGTAATCCCAGCACTTTGGGAGGCCGAGGCGGGTGGATCACGAGGCCGAGAGATCGAGACCATCCTGGTCAACATGGTGAAACCCCGTCTCTACTAAAAATACAAAAAAAATAACTGGGCATGGTGGCGCGTGCCTGTAATCCCAGCTACTCAGGAGGCTGAGGCAGGAGAATTGCCTGAACCCAGGAGGCGGAGGTTGTGGTGAGCCGAGATCGCGCCATTGCACTCCAGCCTGGGTAACAAGAGCGAAACTCCATCTCAAAAAAAAAAAAAAATAGCTGGGCATGGTGGCGCGTGCCTGTAATCCCAGCTACTCAGGAGGCTGAGGCAGGAGAATTGCTTGAACCCAGGAGGCGGAGGTTGCCGTGAGCCGAGATCGTGCCATTGCACTCCAGCCTGGGTAACAAGAGCGACACTGTCTCAAAAAAAAAAAAAAAAAAAAAAAAATTGGCCGGGCACAGTGGCTCACACCTAATAATCCCAGCACTTTGGGAGGCTGAGGCGGGTGGATCATGAGGTTAAGAGATCAAGACCATCCTGGTCAATATGGTGAAACCCCATATCTACTAAAAATACAAAAAATTAGCTGGGCATGGTGGTGCACACCTGTAGTTCCAGCTACTCAGGAGGCTGAGGCAGGAGAATTGCTTGAACCCAGGAGGCGGAGGTTGCGGTGAGCCGAGATCGTGCCATTGCACTCCAGCCTGGGTAACAAGAGCGACACTGTCTCAAAAAAAAAAAAAAAAAAAATTGGCCGGGCACGGTGGCTCACACCTAATAATCCCAGCACTTTGGGAGGCTGAGGCGGGTGGATCATGAGGTTAAGAGATCAAGACCATCCTGGTCAATATGGTGAAACCCCATATCTACTAAAAATACAAAAATTAGCTGGGCATGGTGGTGCACACCTGTAGTTCCAGCTACTCAGGAGGCTGAGGCAGGAGAATTGCTTGAACCCAGGAGGCAGAGGTTGTGGTGAGCCGAGATTGCACCATTGCACTCCAGCCTGGGTAATAAGAGTGAAACTCCATCTCAAAAAAAAAAAAAAAAAAAAAAAATTTGCTTTCTATTTTTTTCCTTGCTATTGCTTGTACTTAGATCATTAATATAGTATATTTATTTATTTTTTCATTAAAGTATTTTAAAACCTTTGGAGTCAAGCATTTAAGTATATATTTAATAAACTCTTCAGACCTCATGCCAAATAAAACACCTACGTGAACATTTCAATTTTTAATAGGCACGTATCTGTAGTATGCTCATTTCTCTAAAAAAAAATAAACAAATAAAGATTATCACATCTTCTAGAAACATATAATAGCCAGGTACTGTTGCTCTTGCCTGTAATCCCAAGACTTTGGCAGGCCAAAGCAAGTGGATCACTTGTCCGGAGTTCACCAACAGCCTGGCTAACATGGCAAAACCCCATCTCTACTAAAAATACAAAAATTAGCTGGGAGTGATGGTGGCTGCCTGTAATCCCAGCTACTGGGGAGGCTGAGTGGAGAGGATCACTTCAGCCTAGAAAGCAGAGCTTGCAGTGAGCCGAGATTGCGCCACTGAACTCCAGCCTGGGCAACAAGAACGAAACTCTGTCTCAATTTAAAAAAAAAAAAGAGAGAAGAGGAACAATCCAGAAGGGCTGTTCTTGCTTAGTGCCTTTTAAGCACCTGATGGAACTCTCTGGAAGCTGTGATAGACATGGAGGCAGGTTGCAGTACAGTGCAGTGCAGTCCTGGCTCATTAGGAGGCTCCATCAACCAGGAGCCCCTTTGTTACTTCTCTTTTTTCATTGTAGATAATGTCTATGATATTGTGGGTACTACATAGATGAGACTATTTAGCATGGCCTCTCCCTTTATAAGTGGTGGCAGTAAGCATGTGTCATAACCATCATATAACCACAAAGCAAACAAATTTCAGGAAAAACACACACACTTTAGTCCTTTATCAGTAACACCTCCTTCCGTTTTTTTTTTTTTTTTAGACGTAGTTTTGCTCTTATTGCCCAGGCTGGAGTGCAATGGTGCAATCTCAGCTCACCGCAACCTCTGCCTCCCAGATTCAAGCCATCCTCCTGCCTCAGCCTCCCAAGTAGCTGGGATTACAGACATGCACCACCACACCTGGCTAATTGTGTATTTTTAGTAGAGAAGGGGTTTCTCTGTGTTGGTCAGGCTGGTCTTGAACTCCTGGGCTCAGGTGATCTGCCCACCCAGGCCTCCCAAAGCGCTGAGATTACAGGCATGAGCCATCACACCTGGCCTACACCCCCTTTCTTGATGGGCTAGACTCCTCTTTGTTCTTCCCTATACCTTTAAATAATACAACCATCACCTTACAAGAAAAACTTTTACTAAAGTCCAAGGACAGGACAGGCATCGTGGCTCACGCTTGTAATTCCAGCAGTTTGGGAGGTTGAAGTGGGTGGATACCTGAAGTCAGGGGTTCGAGACCAGCCTGACCGACATAGTGAAACCTTGTCTCTATTTTAAAAAATACAAAAGCTGGATGTCCTCTTCCTTTTTCAAGCTTCTTACATTGACAAAATGTTGTCATGATTGCATGTTTTATTTGCTTTACAATGGTTTTGTGTTCTCATTTTCATTTCAAAGACTTGATGTTACAGTAAGCTATCTTCTGCATCAATGAGGAAAAAATAAAACTGATACTTTAAAATGCATTTTAGAAATTTGTTGCACCAATCGTTTTCTTAGCACTGCTAAGAGTTAGCACAGGTTTGGGCCAGGCACGGTGGCTCATGTATGTAATCTAGCAATTTGGGAGGCCAAGGCAGGCAGATCACCCGAGGGCAGGATTTTGAGACCAGCCTGGCCAACATGATGAAAACCCATCTCTACTAAAAATAAAAAAAAAAAAAACAAATTAGCTGGGCATGGTGGCAGGCACCTATAATCCCAGCTACTCAGGAGGCTGAGACAGGAGAATTGCTTGAACCCAGGAGGCAGAGGTTGCAGTGAGCTGAGATAGTGCCACTGCACTACAGCCTGGGCAACAGTGCAAGACTCCATCTTAAAAAAAAAAAAAGAAAGAAAGAGATAGCACAGGATCAGGCTTACATTTGTGTTTTTATTTAGAAGCGCAGCTCCTAGCCGGGCGCGGTGGCTCAAGCCTGTAATCCCAGCACTTTGGGAGGCCGAGGCAGGTGGATCACGAGGTCAAGAGATCGAGACCATCCTGGTCAACATGGTGAAACCCCATGTCTACTAAAAATACAGAAAATTAGCTGGGCATGGTGGTGCGTCCCTGTAATCCCAGCTACTCAGGAGGCTGAGGCAGGAATTGCCAGAACCCAGGAAGCGGAGGTTGCGGTGAGCCGAGACCACGCCGTTGCACTCCAGCCTGGGTAACAAGAGCGAAGCTCCGTCTCAAGAAAAAAAAGCACAGCTCCTAATGGAAATGTTAATGAACAGGGAAGTGGACAAAGGCAATCTGATGCAGGTCTTGAAGACCTTAAGGTCCTAAAGGAACCAGCCAGAGAGTACCTAAGTCTCTGTATTCAGAACTTTGAGGAAGGAGAGGCTGCTCTTTATCAATCTGTGTTTTCACACAGGATTTGAAGATTTTGAATGAAGAAAAAACATTCATGATGGAGGTGAAGCATTGTACATTTTTAAATTTTAAGTTCCAGGGTACTTAAAAAGGGTTTCACCTTATTGCCCTAAGCTTGAGGTTAGGAGTTCAAGACCAGCCTGGCCAACATGGTGAAACCCTGTCTCTACTAAAAATACAAAAAATTAGCTGGG